GTAGACAGCCCTCTAACCCTAATAAAGCAGTTGTAGGATTTGGGGGTTACCTCTAAATGTCTTCACAAAAAGAGTAAGTGTGTGTATGGGGCAGCAGTTTCCTTTTTCTGAAGCTCAAGTTCATTGCTTCCTTCGGTGAGATGTCAGTTCCTCCCCAGAGTGAGGTGTGAGAATGAGGAATGTAATTGGGACTTCTAAAAAAAAGTGAAGTTGAATGTTTATCATATTATAACTGAGTAGAACCTTGAAAACATGTTCATGAGGAGGTTGTAGAAAGATCCTGATTGAATTCTTGTGGACTTTCAGGAGTTTCTCTCTATAAATTAAAAAAAAAAAACAGGAAAATGATGACCAAGTTGTGGAAAAACTTTTATCCCCCTCAAATGGCAGATTTTTTCCCATTTTAATCATTTCTTCCCTGCTGTAAAGTTCACATTTGATGTAGATGGGTCACCTGGTAAGTTTTCTGGAATTTAATGTGTGGTTCATTTGAAGAAAAAGGTATAAGGCCCATGGGGCAAGGAATCGGTTTACTTTTGAGCAAGATTATTCTTACACTCATACTCCTTAAATTGTGAGTCTTTGAAGAGAGATGTTCTGTAGTAAATTAAAATTCATAGTTTTAAAATTCGTAGGGATTTATGTGGACACATGGAAAAATACAGATCAGCTTCTGTTGCAATGAATTCTAAGGAATTCCTGGGCAGTTTTTAGCATATTAGAATTTAACCGAATTGAATATTGTTTAAAACAAATCCATTGCCAGAGAATTATAAACTTTTCAAGCATAGATTTTTATATATGGCAATCCTGGTAGTAGATTTTTTTTTATTGACGTATAGTCAGTCTACAATGTTGTGTCAGTTTCTGGTGTTATAATAGATTTTTACATTTGAAAATTGAGTGTTTTGAAAACTAAATGTCGACTGAAACAGTTTTTCTTTTAAAATTAGCAAAATTTCTGGGAACTGTTTCCTTTCCACTTTGTAACCTGAAGTGGTTGGTGTACCTTTGCAGCGAAGATGCGTTTCCCATGGAGAGCAATTTGTCTGGATGTTCTGTGACAGATGAAAGCTTGCTTTAGAGCCTTGTGCAGAAACATATTAATGGACAGTTACAGGATCCTGGGAAAGGTGGGCTCGGGAGGTGTAAATTTCAGAGCCGTCTCCAGTGTTCTCTTGCTGTGACTCAACCATTTTAAATTTCAGCACTGCACAGTATCTTCATAGGGTGCATACATGCATGACTTAAAAATCCTAATTTAAATGTTACCTTAGACTATGCGGATGTTAGAAACAATGCTTAAGTGACAAACTGAGCTTTCTTCTCGTGGATGCAGACATAAATTCTGTCAGTCACAAGACCATGTTTCTGTTGACGGTGCTAATTGTCATTCTTCTGGAATGAAATACAAAATGCATATTTATTGGGTGCTGTTGTGTATTTTGTCCTAACCTTGAAACTTTTTTTTAGACAGTCGTTTTCATGTTATCTCTGTCCTGCCTGCAACTTAAATGATTGATTTATCTGAATGCAAAAGCTTTGAGAATCATAGATTCTGGTGGAAAGACTCCTTATAAGATTGGCGTCTGCGAACTTGAGTTTGCGGCTGGCCCTGCCCTTGCTTTTCTGATGAACTGGGGCAAAAGTTAGTTAAGAGCGACCACCTTATAGCATTGTTAGGATGATGAAAAGATACGTCAAAGGGCTTTGCAAAGCATAAGGTGAATACAGATTTTTACTGGTTTATCTTATATCCCATTACTTTTGGTCTTGCTAGTAACCTTCGGCAGACAGGAGAGAGCTGTCTCAGTTCATTTCGGCTGCTGTAACAAAAATACCACAGAACTGGGGGCGCTTATAGCAAGGGAACTTTGCTTCTCACAGCTCTGGAGGCTGGAAGTCCAAGATCAAGTTGCCAGTAGATTCAGTGTCTGGTGAGGACCCTCTTCCTGGTTCCTGGACACCGATTCTCACTGTGTCCTCACCTGGAGGGGAGGGGACAGGGACCTCTCTGGGGTCTCTTTTATAAGGACACTTATCTCGTCAGGCTCCACCCTCATGACGTCACCAATCTCCCAAAGTCCTCACCTCCTCACACCATCACACTGGGGTTGGGGGGTTAGAATTCAACAGATGAATTTTGGGAGTGGGGGGTGGGGCACAGACGCTCAGTCTATAACAAGGGCTGATTTAGAAACAGATACAGCTTGCTAATGATGGAAAAGAACCCCGTTAACACAGTTTTTGCCCCAAATGTGTGCATTTCCTTATGAGTATGTATGCATAAAATTAGGAAGATGATGATTTTTATTTGAGAAAAAATAACCTAGTGGTAAAGGATGTTGATGAAGGGGTGAGTTGCTCTTTTCAGGGGGGCAGGGCTAGGACACTGTGGTCCAGCTGGAAGCTCTCTGAGTTTGCCCACATCCCTTTCATGTTGCTTGAGTCCCTTCCATGTTAATTTTTCTCTTGGGCTTGTGGTCCTCAGTGGGTGATGGTGCGGCTGTGGACTGAGATGCAGGTGGGTGAGTGACACAGTGGGGTGCTGCTGCGGTCCCCCATTCTGTTGGCCAAAGTGTGTTGAAAGTTCCAACCTGGAGTGTGTGGAAATCAGTAGTAAACACGGTGAGTATGGGTGACAATCTGAGAGATCCTCGTAACAGGAGGCGCTGTTCGTTATTCATTGCCTAGGTGTGCCAGGCGTGGTTATGTGTTACTGACACACGTATCTCCTTTCATCCTTACAGCATCCCACACGCAAAATATTGTGGCCCCGGAAGAGAGAGTAGAAGAGGCATTGGGGTAATTATTGGAAGCCAGGCGGCCAGTGATGGCAGGACCCGGCTCAGAGCCCAGGGTTTCCCCGCACCGTGAGCTGGCTTTTCCTGCCACCCTCACGGCCTCATTTCCATTGGTAATATCTCCAGTTCTTGAGGTTTGGGCTGGAGAGAGAGTTGCACCTCGTTTAGAAACAACCTCTAAACAATCTTTGAACCTTCCCAGGAGGCTAAGTATTGGACGTGCTGTTCCAGACAGTGTTCCCGGGTCTGGTGGTTGTCATGGGATGTGAAACTCAGACGCATGGCGGGCAAACGGGAGTCCGGGCCAGGGTGCTGCTCGCCTGTGGCTGATTTTGGGAATCCTGTGATGCCCTGGGGAGGCTCTCGGATGTGGATGTAACTTAAGCGTTGGGACACCTGTAGATGGAGAAATTTGCCAAGAAGTTACATTTTTCTCAAGTCTTGGGTTCGAAGCACTTGTAGAATGTTGGCTTCCAAGGTCTGATGCGTCTTTTTTTGAAAGATGTCTCCGATGCAGTGCTGTCCCCGCGGTTTGGGGCTGGGCCTCTTCTGTAACTAGGGAACTTCAGCAGCCTCAACCTTAGTTTCTCTGCCATTAGGTTCCTTTGTTCTCATTCGAGCCTTTATCCTATTTTCAGGTCCACTTTATGCAGAGATTTTCTGTCTCTGAAACGTGGGTGCTGATTTGCCAGGCCGTCCACAGTTTCATTCCTGCCACCCATGGGTATTGTGTGTGTGGTGTTCTGTGCTCAGGCTGGGCTCTCTGTGGCCAAGGGCTGCCCTGTGTTTCTCCACCTGCCCTTCCCTTCACCCCTTGAATATTCGCATATGCTGTTCCTCCTTCTTCTCTGCCTTTAGAATGCATCTTTCTTTTCTGTAATTCAGAGCCGGCTTTTACTTTCCCGCCTGGACAGAGTCCTCCGATTCTCCCATCCCTCACTGAGCTCTTTCTTCTTGGACCCCCCGAATTACCTGCTTCGTCGTAGCTTCTCTGTTGTCCACGGAAGTTTCTAAACAGGTGCTCGGATTTCAGAGGTTCACGGTCGTCCATCTCCTTGAAGCCCAGCAAAATCTAGGCACGTGGTCGGCGTGACGTCACCCATCGTGGGCATATTTGTTGTCGCCGTGGAAATACTTAATCTCAGCAGGGCCTTGAAGATGAGGGAAAGTAATGGAAGACCACCTGTGTCCGGAAGGGTGCTGGGGTTTGTAAACAAACGAGTTTGACGTTCCACTGCTTTGCTGAAATGTTTTTTTTCTCCCCTCTTTTGCCTCGCCAGCAATCAAGGAAAAGTACACCGACTGGACGGAATTTCTCATCCGCGACCTGACCGGCTCCCGGACGGCCCCCGCCAGCCTGCTGGAAGGTGTATGTATCTGTTAGCAGCGTTCTGCGCGCGAAGCGCCGGCGGGCCCTGAGCGCGAGCCTCGCAGCGTATATCCTTCTGCGGCTGCGCGCGTACACACGGCACCGCCCGGTCCTGGCCGGGCCGCGTAGGGCGCCGGTGCCCACGGCAGGGAAGGCGCTTCACCGGGGGTGCAGTCAGGACGTGGGAAACGTGCTGCTACGTGAACACGTTTTAGAGTAACGTTAGGACATCTCCCCACCATCCCCTGGGTTTAAGACTCTCCTGTTACCGAATGCATATGAAATCCCGGAGCATGACTGTTCTGTAGAGATGCCAGCTGGGTGTACGTGTGCCGGCGGGTATTCTCGGAGTATACCGATAAATGGGTCCCCTGACTATTCCAGGCCGGCTGCAAAACCCGTGTTTCAACACACACGTGTTAGGTAATCATTGCATTAGCCTCCTTTATGAAACAAGAGGAGAAATGGCTAACCCTATTGAAATGTGGTTAAAGTCACTTCAAGGGCCTGAAGAAAAAGCAATTGTATGATAAAACATTTTAATATTTATATCCTAGAACAGGAAGAGAAATGTACTGTCGTAAATGATTATTGAGTTACCAAATCTGTTTGGAGTATGCCCCTAAAAAAGAGGAACACACAAGGAATGACCAAGAACGCAGTGTGGATTTTGACAATATCATTATTCTCTTAACATTGACCGTAAATTTCCCTCCTGTCATAAATGATATTTCGGAACACCACCGTCTCACATACGGTTACCTGGTCTTGTTTTGTGAAGGTTTTGCCAAATGTATTTGTGTATCTCAGTGGCTCCTAGTTTAATTGTTTGCCTGACAAATCAAAATGATGATTGTTCTCCATTTCATAAGGACACATTTTCTTACACTGTTAAATTTGCTTTTAATGTATTTGCCTACAAGGCTGGCTGAACAAACACCCTTTTCCTATGCAAAAATATGCTAAGAAGGTGCATATAGATGGGGCAGCAATTATATTTAATCTCTAAACCAGCTATTGAATTAAGTGTCCAAATTACACAATAGTCTAATTTAGCTGATCATTAATGTGTATTAGGCATTCATAAAAAATGTCCTTTACACATGTTCATGCTTTACTCACATAATCAAGGTACGAGAAGGTCTTGATTATGTGAATGGGGCCGTGGTGAGAGAACTCTCTTCTCAGTCAAGGTATAAACTGGTCGCCCCAAATCAGATCTGCCTACTGGAAAAGTAGTCCGCTGCCACACATTTTTCTAGCTCGAGGCAAATTTGGGGTAATACTTCTTAAAAGCATCCTCATTCTTAGCAAATGCAATTCTGTCTGGGAAGGGTGATTTGTTTGGTGAGAACTTAGCACAAACTGTGTTTTTTTGTGTCTTTGTGGGTTTTGTTTTTGGATGGGGGAAAAATGGAAGTGTGTGTGGGAGGGGAGGGGAGGGAGGAGAGGGGAGGGGGCGATGGGGGTGACGGGAAACACCAGACTGTTTGCCAGTAGCCTGGATGATGGTGTGAAAAAATATTATCTTCTACTGTCATCTGTTTCCATGAGAACCTTAAAATAAAGTTTAAAATAAGGAGTTTTGCTTCTGTTCAAACAGCCTCTGCGAGGGAAAGGCCCCATAGACCTCATTACAGTTGATTCCTTAATAGAGCTTCAGGACTCTCAGAACCCTTTTCAGTACTGGATAGTTAGTGCGATTGACAATGTTGGAGGAAGATTACGCCTTCGCTATGTGGGATTGGAGGACACTGAATCCTATGACCAGTGGTTGTTTTACTTGGATTACAGACTTCGACCAGTTGGTTGGTGTCAAGAGAATAAGTACAGAATGGACCCACCTTCAGGTAAGGGCGAGGGCGTTGGCTGCTGCCAGGTGTTCTAGAAAGAGATGTGACTATTTTCCTGGATGTATCTCTGGAAAATGGGTTAGCTCTGTGGTATCTCTTCCATCTATACAGGTAAATACTAAGCACTTTGACTTCAGAGTACTCTCTCTCTGTGGTGAGTAGAACTCACGACCTCGATGAACAGTATTTGAAACGAGGAATTGGTGGGACGCTGTGGAGATGGTGATTCAGTTTCTTCGGAAATACTGGTTCAGAAATGAAAGACATAATAGATTGGGACTTGATTATATTCTCTCTTTTTCTTTAGGAATTTGACAGTCTTGCAAGTGGGTTCCAAAATCTCTGTCCCTCCATCCATCCATCCACCCACTCAGCCATCCTTCCATTCATCCATCCATCTGTCCATCCATCCATTCACCCGTCCACCCATCCGTCTGTCCGTCCATCCATCTGTCCATTCAGACATCCACCCTTCCACCCATCCATCCATCCGTCCATCCACCCATCCATGTGAATATCCAAACCAAATGCTTATCATTGTATTCTCTCTTCTGACCTGAAAATAGCAAAGAGAAAATCGTTTTTTTTCTGATACATTATAGATTTTAAGTAGCTCCAAGTGCCCTGTCAAATGACTCTGCACAGGCTTAATTGAGTAGAAGAGTGTTATGCTTCCTGACGTACCTAACGGGGCAAAAATCTCAACGTTTGCAAAATAGCCATTCTCGAATGTTCACTGTGTGCCAGGTGATTTTACATCTGCTATGTTGTTTGTTTTGATTCTAAAAGAAAAGTGCTGCATGTCTGGTGTGACTATTTCCTTTGACAGCAGAAAAAAATTTGAGACTGAGTTTAAGCTACATGTCCAAGGTCACTCAGTGCGTAGCAGGAATGTGCTCTAATTCAAATTCCCAGGTCCCTTCTCCCCTTCCATCCAGCCCCCCTGCTGCCCCTCACTGGCCTGACCCTTCGGACAGGTAGCTTCAGAACAGAAGTATTGAATTCTTATGGAATTAAAGAGGCCAAAGAAGGTACACTCATTTCTTCCCGAAAGTGCTGGTTTTCGTTCTGGTCAATCTCACAGGTTTATTGGAAGCAAAGACTTGGCTCTCTCCTTTATTGAAACTGCCAGCGATTTTTCACCCTCCCGTATTAGTTGCCAGTGTTAAGTCTTGAGTACATGAATCGGAGGAGCTGTGTTTCCTTTTCCTGTCAGTCAAGGGCTTTAATTGAAAAAGCTTCTTGGTTCTGCATGTCGTATGTTTGCATTTGTGTTGAATTTGACAGGCATATAGGCATATAACATGGTATTTTATTAGTATTATTGTTGTCAGTGTTCTGAAAAACGGCCAGAAATCCGTTTATACCCTGAGTAATTTTGGGGATATGATTGCAAACGAAGGGCTTGTCAGTTTTGCAAGAAAAGATCTAAGCTCACGTTTGCCTTGGGATTCATAACTTAGCAGGAGAAATTTACTTTGTGCAGAGTTGGGTGTATAAATCTTAGCTTAGTATCTAATTGCTTTATAAATTTTAAGAGAAACCTTGTATTTGCTGATGTAAAAATTTATAGAAAAGCAAAGGATTACTAGCAGCTCTTAGGTTCAGTGTAAGTTCCCCTTCCTGTGCCTTGGTGGACTCATACTTGGTGATGGATTGGAAGTTGTCATTGTAGAAGCCGAGGAAATTCTTGCATAGGAGACTTCTCTCTCTTCCTTCAGATACTTTGATGTCTTTACAAGAATAAATTGTGTTTACTTGTCTTAGTAATTTTCTGGACACAAGCTGTCCATTTCACTGAAGCATTCCAGGGAGTTCCTTAAAGACTTTGGAAAAGACATTCATCATCAAAAAGTGATTTTCCCAGCATTTATGAGTTGTTGGCAGGAAAGGCTATGGATGGGAAGAACAAAATGAAAGCTGGCAGGATACCCCAAGTGTGACTTTTGGTTCTTCATATGCAGTTGTTACAAGACGAACGCTGAGTTCTCTGACCTCATTCAGCAGGACACGCCCAGGAAGGCAGCTGTGACGCAGGTGTTACACACGGGCGCAGAACCCAGTCCTTGGGGTTCACATATGTTAGTTTCGGGACCCAACGTGACTTGCTAAACATAGATGGCAGTGCCCCTTCCTTAACTGAAATTTAGGTGGGGGTAAAATTTCAGACTTGTGTAGAAAATACTAGGCTATTCTTCTTAAGGGAATGCAAAGTGTTCACCATTGACTGCTGGGGAGAAGTAGAGTTGGAACGGTACAGGGGGAGGGGAGAATAGATCCTTTGGGTATATAGTTGTCTGCTTGGTATCCACTGGGTTCCAGGACCTCCACAGATACTAAAATCCAGGGGTGCTCGGATCCTTTATATAAGACAGTGTAGTACAGCCAGCCTTCCGCACTGGAGGGTCTGAGGTGCTGCACCCGCGATTTCTACACCAGTGGGTTCTGCATTCGCGGGCATTAAATTTGTCGGCTCCTGTATCCGCGGGCTCCTCCCTCCACGGCCCCGCCCTCCATGGGCCACGCCCACCGTGGGTCCCGCCCACCATGTGGGTGGGGCGTGCGGACCCTCCAGGCTGGATGGCTGCCTGGGCTTTGAGAGGGAGGCCGTGCCCAGGTCACCCTACTCTCCGTGCCCTCTTTGCTGTGCTTCCCCCTGCCCCCAGCTAACACCAACACTGTTGCTAAAAATAATCATAGCTCTTCCTTTAATTTTTCTTACTCTTTCTACTTTTTGAAGACCACAGTATTCCAGCTGTTGGGTGCAAATAGAGGTGTGGAAATAGATGGTGGAAAGTAGCTAGCTAGTAAGTCTTCAAAAACTCGAGGAAAAGTGCTGGCTTTTATGCTGCTCGCCAGGGAGAGTCCTCCGTCCCATTTCTGGCTGCAATCAGAGGACAAGGGTTGGGGCGATGGGATGTTAGAGGGGCGGAGCCACCCCACCCAACTCCACACACGGTCAGGGGCCTTGAGTGATTTTGTAACCACTTCTTTTACCCTCTTGTCTGTCTCAGGGGCTCCCCCCACCCCCAGAGACCTCAGTCACAGACAGTGCGGGCTCGGGCACCAGCACAGGGAACTTTGTCTTCCTTTTTTGGTCTCCCTGTGTCTGCAGACCTCTCCTTCGGTCATGTCTTTGGAAGTCACCATCCTTTTTCATCCTAAGATGAAACTTTCTGAGGTTTTCAAAAACAAGCCTTGTCCCTAGATTCTTTCCTGTGTTTATTTCCCTTCAAAATCTTTATGTCAACCTTCCCCCCACCCCCAATTCCTCCTTTTCTTTTCATTTTAGATAGTTCCTGGAGCCAGGAAATTTCTGCGTCTAATTCACATGCTTCCTCCTTGAACTATTTCTTAGTCCAGAAAGAATTGTTGCTTTCTGTCTTAGTCGACTCCAGCTGCCTTAACAAAATACCCTTGTCTGGGGGCCTTATACACACACACACACACACACACACACCCCAACTGTGGAGGATTGAAGTCCAAAATGCGAGTGTCAGCACGGTTGAGTTCTGCTTCAGTGTGGAGTTGCTTGGTTCTCCTTTTACTGCTGTGCTGAGGTTGACCTGCTTCCAGACCCCTGGAAAAGTGGGTTTCTTCTTGTCTGCTCAGGAAATCTAGAGTCCTGTTTGTTGCTTCCACCTTGACCTCCTCTTGAGCCACTGCACTTGGTGTCATCAGGGCTTTGCTTCCTGGAATCCTGAATTGTCTCCCTCTTCCTGGAGATTCTGACGCAGCGCCCCTGAGCTGAAGCACCAGTGTGTTCCAGGGAGTCCTCCTCACCCTCTGGGGACAATGTGTAGGGCTCTGTGGACTGGGTCCTCTTACCCCTCCGTGGGACCCTGTGATAAACCATTTCTCCCTCTGGATGCCCTTCTTCCTGTGGCTGGAGGAACCATCCGTGGATTTATTCTCTGTGGATGTGTTTATTGGGGAACCTCACTATGTTCCCCCAGATATGTCTGCTAAGAAGAATCACAGCCTAGTGGGGAGGGCACAGCTCAGTGTTAGAGCCCATGCTTAGCAAGCATGAGGTCCTGGGTTCAATCCCTAGAGCCTCCATTAAAAAAAAAAAAAAGAAGAATCACAGTCTACTTTTGTTCTGATACAGAACTGCCAAACTGAGAAGAAAAAATTCTCCTGAGGTGGCTGAGTGTAAATAAAAGGCTAGACAGGATTATAGCCGATATTCACAGGTAGAGCCTACCTTGTCTTTAAATAGCCTTTATGTGACTTGGTGAATCTGACAGTGAGTCACAGTGGGTGGTGTGTTGGTTCCTTGAAACCCTGTGGCTGCGTCGTTGGCGTCCCGTAATTATGACAGTCTGAAAAGACTAAACAAACAGAACACGGGAGCTTCAAGCTCAAGGTGAGTTCAAAAGCTATGAGCCCAAAATATACGGCGGCATGCTAAAAAGCAGACACATGAGAAATTAAAAATATAGCCCCAAAGATTTAATGTTGCCTTTTAACTGTGCTTAAATTTGTATTCCCATCCTGTCTGTCTGTCTGAAGTAGTCTGGGTTGATATAAGGAAGGTATAAACATATCTACTCCGAGTGAGTGCTTCTGCAAATCCTATTTTGATAAGGTCTTAAATCTGTTGAGATCAGATCATAAAATTCCCCTGCAGTTTCAGCCATTGGTTAAAAACAGTGCTCAGCGATTTTTTTTTTCCTTTGAATTTTGTATTCAGACAGCGTAACCCCCGGCCCCTGCCGCCTGGGGAAAAATAAGGGCCACATGTACTGTGTTTGCAACATTTCCTGTGTAAATGTTAAACTTGGTAAATTTTAACCTATCTTTTAATAATTTCCTGACTGACGTGGACTATTTTTAGCAGATGAGAGCTTAGAGATTTAGCGAAAAATGTGCTGTAATAACCAAAAACACCAGACAAGAGTCGTTTCTAGTTTAGAAATTGATCAGATAATAAGTTCTTCATCAGTGGGTATGACTTCCCAGGTGATGTATGGCATTTGGGGCCACAGACGACTAAAGAGTGGCTGATGTGATTTATACCATTAAATTACTTGCAGAATGCCAGCGGCATGCGTGCGCGTGTTCCCTGAAGAAGAGCCTACTAAGTTTATTCTTCGTTTCTGAGAGCAGAGCGCCACGTTGTTATTTAACTTCAGGAAATCCCTTTAGCAGGTGGCTTTTTATGGCGGGCAGGGTGTGAATTCTTACGGTGGCCGAGTTATTATGAAATCCTAGGGAGATAAAACCCGAGGAAGAACCACCTAGTAGAACGTCTCAGCCCTTAAACTATTCTGTTATTTGCTGTTGATACAGAAATCTATCCTTTGAAGACGGACTCAGAATGGAAATGTGCTCTGGAGAAATCGCTTGTTGAAGCTGCTAGGTTTCCTCTTCCAATGGAAGTGTTTAAGGTAAGATGCCGATTGGTACAATGTGTCTACTCTTCAAGAACGAGCGGGGGAAAACGTTTCCTGTATCACATCCTTTCCCACTGTTTTAAAAAGCTGCCTCCTTGGCCAGTTTTCATTTTAAATGTTTAAAATGTGATTGGTTTTGTTTTGCTCTGCTTTGGAATCTTCACAAATATCTGTATTCCAAGATAATGCTTCAAATCTTATTCTTATTAAATCCTCAATAAGAATATTATAAGGTCACCTGAATCTTATTAACTTTTTTTCAGGTTTACAGTTTTCTTTTCTCCATCACATATGAGTATCGAAATCTTACATTCACCATTTCACTCCTTACCAAAGAAACAAAACAAAATAGGGCAAGTCTAATTTTGCTATTTGCTGGGTAACAATGATGGGAAAGGGCGCTTTCCTTGATGGCTCAGTTTTCTCGATGGCTCCAGAAACTCGTGTGAGGAGAGGAGCTGGTGGGTGTTAAGTTTTCTTCTCGGTGCTGCGAGATGAGTGAAAGAAACATACCGGGACTGAAACAGACCACCTGGTTCCTTAACTCTCTTACAGTTGTGCTTAACATTTATATGATGTATACCATTAAGTTCTGGACAGGAGGGAGTCCCTTCAGGAAGACGGCGCCTTCCTATTTGGAGCTGGACTAGGTGGGAAATTGGTACCACGTCGATGGCCTCTTGGAAACTTGTATGTGGGGTTACTGACGTTAACTTGCTTTCCAGTTCCGAGTGGGGCTGGAAGAAGTTTCAGCAGGGCCGTAGATATTTCGTATGGAAAATGAAATTGCCGTGGTGTTTTTGCACCACCCGCAGCAGGAGTATGAGGCTGGACTTCCTGGACTTCTCGCTGAGGTCCTCACTCAAACCTTAATCCCTCAGGGCAAATCACCGACGTGCCTGTTCAGCACTTCCCTTGTTGGTGACTCTGGACTTAGGAGACCTTTTCTGAAGCTAGTTATTATTGGCAGTAACAGGCACGCTGATCGTGCAATGTATTTTGGGGCTTTTTTTTTTTTGCTAAGTGACCAAACACTTCTTTGTCCTCCCCCTTTCCTTCCTCCCTCCCTTTCTTCTCCTTCTTTCCTTGCCTGATAATATCTCCCCCCTGCAAAGAAAATAATAATAATACAAATTGTGAAAAAGAGTTTTAATTGTCCATGAATTGGCTCTACCCGCCTCACTCCCCTGACCTCTGCAGCTGGTGTCCACTCTCTTCCCAGTGGCCTTAGTGATATTTAAAAAAACATTTGTAATGGAAGTGTAGTTGATTTACCATGTTTCGTTAGTCTTGGGTGTACAGCAAAGTGATTCAGTTATATATATGTATCTCTATATATTCTTTTCCAGATTCTTTTCCGCTATAGGTTATTGCAGGGTATTCAATATAGTTCCCTGTGCTCTACAGTAGGTTCCTGTTGCTTATCTATTTTATATGTAGTAGTGTGTATATGTTAATCCCAAACTCCTAATTTATCCCTCCCCCACTTTCGCCTTTGGTAACCGTAAGTTTGTTTTCTATGTCTGTGAGTCGGCTTCTGTTTTGTAGATGAGTTCATTTGTATCATTCTTTTTTAGATTCCACATGTATGTGATGTCATATGATCACCTGTCTCTCTCTGTCTGACTTAGTTCGTTTCATGTGCTAAATGATAGTTTCCACGGCTGCTTTCCTCGTCTGTGACCGTGTGGTTGCGGGACTCCCTGGCTGGCTTTGTCACTTTTTCCCCTCTATTCATTTCGGTTCTTCGTTTTCTCCTCTGTCTGCTGGACCGTCGGAAGGCTTCCCCACACCTGGGTGCTGCTGTTTTTATGAGCATCTGTTGGGCGTTTTTTTTTTCTGAAGGCTCTGTTCTTGCGGACTGAAAGCAGGAGTGGATCTTCTTGGAATTAATTGATTTTTTAAAAAAGTTTCTTCTCCTTGAGTAGTTTGTTTTCTGCACGTTGCTTTTGGTTTCTGTCTTTCTTGCCAGAGGCTTTGCTCGGGTCTCTGAAAATCCTGACTGTCTGCTCTGAAGTAAGAGGGGATTTGAAAGCTGAGGGCAGGGCTGGTCCATGTCCGGGGACCGTGGTGGTTTGCTCGTTTTATGGTGACTTTTCCTCTTTAGCTGATTTCCAAGGAGGACAGTTTCAACTTCCCGCCTGGGGTTCAAGGTCCAGCTGCCAGCGTTCTAGGTGCTGGGTGGTGAGAAGAGGGCCCGGAGATTCCACGAGGGGTTCTTTCTGGCACCCACTGACCGGGGACCATCTGTTTCATCCTCTTCAGAGGAGACTGGGAGGGGGAACCACTGGTCTGTAATAAGTTTTTCTGTTAGAATTCAGATTGTTACTTTTGTGAAGTACCTAGAATTACCATTGCCCCCAGGATTTTGTTTATAATTAATAATTGCTTTACGAATAGATAGCAGATAATTTCTACTTTTCACAGTGCCTGCAGGACATATGGCGTGGGCATTTAATAAAAAAATTGGTTGAATGCTATATTTTACTGAGAATTCTGACTTCCCTTATTGGGAAAATGCAGATAATCTTCAAAATTTATACAAAGTGTGTATTTAGAAGAAAGACACGTCATTTATGAAATGGGTAACAAAAAAGGAGGAAGGATTATGGAAGATTTTTTGTTACTGAACAATAAGGTATGCATTTTTTTCTCTTGAAAACCAGTCTCATTATTTACAGACCTAATAGATTTGCTGAGACCAATCCATATATTAGTGGTAATTTGTTTTAGGAAAAATACTGAGTATGTATTCCGGTACTACAGGTCAGTGTGGTCTCTCAGCTGGCTTTCTTTATTGCTTATTACTATGTTTCCTTTTCAAACCATCCTTTGATTAACTTACGACACATCCTGTCAAGTGAAGTGAAATGCCCCAGTTTCTATAAGTGTTTCTCTTTTGTCTTCGCAAAGAATTCGTAGGGTGGGTCTCTCTCAGAGTTTCTGTCGTGAAAAATGAAGTGAATACAGGGCTAATTGAGTTTTTGGCCGGCGGATTTCTGTACTGCTTCCATTTTAATTCACTAAGTATTTGCTAAAACATAAGGAGTGGATTTGGGGGAATTCAGTTAGGTTTTAAAAGTAGGGCCTAGGGAGACCAGACTCTTGTCTAACTATAATTAGTTTGGTATTTCACGTGCCAGACACTCATAAGCCTTTTATAATTAATGCCGCTTTTCATCCTCTGCCGTTCTTGTAAATTGTAATCTACATTTGTGACCCCTCTTGTTTGCAAACGTTAAATCACGGAAGTGTCACTGACAGCTCGTGAGTACATCAAAAAGAGCTGCAGGTAAGAAGTGGCAGCCCCGGGTTGGCCGGGTGATTGAAGTACAGTCCTTGTCCCCCAGGGGACCAGAGATAGCCCGGGGAACGCAGGGCTCTCCAGCCGCCCCCAGGTGTGACTGCGCCTTTTTTTTTTGCATTTTGTCTATTTACTTTTAATTTTTTAATTGAAGTACAGTCAATTGCAATGTGTCAATCTCTGGTGTACAGCACAATGTCCCAGTCATGCATATACATGCATATGTTTGTCTTCATATTTTTTTTCATTAAAGGTCACTGCAAGATATTGAACATAGTTCCCTGTGCTAGACAGAAGCAACTTCTTAAATCTGTTTTTATATATAGTGGCTGACATTTGCAAATGTCAAACTCTCAAATTTATCCCTTCCTACTCCTTTTGCCCCCCTGGTAACCATAAGATTGTTTACTATGTCTGTGTGTCTGTTTCTGTTTTGTAGATGAGTTCACTAGTGTCCTTTTTTTTTTTAATTCCACATATGAGTGATACTGTGTAGTATTTTTTTTCTCTTTCTGGCTTCACTTAGAATGACTGTCTCTTGGTCCATCCATCTTGCTGCAAATGGCATTATTTTATTCTTTTTTATGGCTAAGTGGTATTCCATTGTATAAATACACCACAACTTCTTTATCCAGTCATCTGTCGATGGACATTTAGGTTGCTTCCACATCTTGGCTATTGTAAATAGTGCTGCTATGAACATTGGGGTGCATTTATCTTTTCAAATTAGAGTTCCCTCTGGCTATATACCCAGGAGTGGGATTGCTGGATCATATGTTAAGTCTATTTTTAGTTGACCACACCTTCTAATTGCTCAGAAAGAACATGATTTGAAATGTCACTAAAATCCATTTTTTAAATTTTTTACCCCCTGAAGTCAAGAAATTGCTTGAATATTATTTTCATCCCATTACCAAAGTTTCAATCCTTAGTGTGTTTGGAATTCCAAATTTTATTTAGAGATTTGCAGAAGAGTCCAGAGGACTCTTGGTAAAGAGTTGGATAATAAATAATAAAATAAAGAAGTAAGATGAAGGCCGGAAACCGTGGCCTGCCTTCATCCTTAGGTCTGCTCCCAGACTCGGCAGTTGACCAGGACTCATGGTCGTTGTGGTCACAGTTACAGTTTATTACAATAAAAGACATTAGGCAAAGACAGCAAAGGGGAGAGCCTCGTGGGGTGAATTCTGAAAACCCACACACACACTTCCAAGAGTCTTCTCCCGTAGAAAGCATGCAAGACACCGTTAGTTCCTGCCACAGCGTGTTGGGCCAGCGCGAGCTAGGGAAACTCAGAGACTCGCATAACTTACTCCTAAATTAATGTTGGGAAAACAGAGGGAAGGGGAAGCTGAGAGAAGGCTAATTTGATTAAAAAAGATGCGACATGTGGCCATTGTTTTTTCTTCACACAAACACATGAAGAAAGGTATTCTGTGCGCATATTTCTTCCCTGTTAAGAGGGTTCAGGCTGTGCTCACAATGCATGGAACTTTCCACATCTGTTAATTTCTTTAGCCCTTTTCCGCTTTGAGTTTTGTACCTGTTGGTGCGGTTGTAGACTTAGCCCTGAGGAGAGACCGCCTTGTACGTTTCAGCATCCGAGACCTGGGGTACAGGTCAGAGGGAGGAGGTTCACGGTGGCCAGGAGAGAAAAGCCTTCCTTTCTCATTCCGTCTGGTGCGGCCAA